TAGGTCAACCTTTTTAAGTCATTTTGAAGTAATAAAGAGGAATTATGTGAATATCATGTGAATTATATGCTTACTTGCTTAATTATTATGATTTAATTAATTAATAATGAAAATAAGCATTGAAAATAAACATTAGAAAAGGCCGATATCTTTTAAGAAAGTTGTAGTGGCCGAAACAAGGATTCCAGAGATATAAAGAACGCCAAAATCGAAGTTATAACGAACAAGTTATGACCTGTCGAAGTTTTGCGACGGAACCGGCATGGCACCGGGAAGTGTAAAAAGTGAATTTACGACAAAGTGGTTTTTAGCCTTAACAATCTAAACAAAAGTCATAGTATTCGTTAAGCCAAAATTTTTGATAAAAAGAACGTCCAAATCTGACTTCGTATGACGAAGTTATGATTTTTCTAAGTTTTAGCGGAGCAGTAGATAATTAAAAACTCGAATTTAAAATCGAGCGATATTTAGCCAACACAATCTAAACGAGAATCAAAGGTCTCGTTAATAGTAGTACAACGATAAAAAGACTGACGCAAACGGACCTCGGATGAAGAAGTTATGAATTTTTAATGGATTTTCCTGTCCCGGTCTGTTAAAAATAATAATATTAAAATTAAAGTCAAAATTAGCCGACGAAATCTAAACGAAAGTTGTAGAATATATTCCCGCCTACGCGTGCATATAAAGAACGTCAAAAACGGAGATCGTATGCTAAAGCTATGAATTTTAGAAGTTTTGGGTGCAATTTTCGAAAAATTCGCATGGATAGGAGCCGGCCACGTCACCCTTGCCTCGTGTCCGAAGCTGCTGCGTCACCGAGTCGTGGCCAAGTCCGGATCCGACGTGTGTCACATTCTCCTCGGACTGAAGTCTCGGCCAATCAGAGGCTTCCTCGTACTCTTCGCGTGTCCAAATCTCGCAGAGGCCATGTCCGAGCCTCGTGGCCTTCGCATCTTCCGACGCGCCTCCTATACCTCGCCTCCGTGTCTCGCCTCGCACCAACCACCTGTCCCTATCACATCCGAGCCACGTCTCCCCTCCCTATCCGAGCCTCGCAGCTGCTACGTGGAGCTTCCTTAGCCATTCAAACTTCGGTCTCGCACCCTATAAATAGGGGGGCTGCGAGATCTCCCGGCTAGAATTAGAAAAATGTCATTTTTCACCCATAAACTTATATTTTGACTATTTTGACTTCCCGTGAAGCCCCGGTATCATTTCTAAAGCTCGAAACACATCCCGAAGTGCTCGAAGACCCGAAATTTTTTATCTTTTTCGGTTTTGAAGCTCCAACCCTCGCAGAGCCCGGTTTCTCAATAAAACTTCCGGTTTTATCAGAAACAATCATTTTAGGGAACGAATTGCTGCCCGATTATCATCAAATCAAGTGAGTGTATAGTCACTTTCATCTTACACATAGATATGAAGTATTTTCTATAAAATACGTGCTATGTGTAATTATATTGATTGTTTATTTGAGATGACTGTTGAATAAATGTTTTATACAAGTTATAAACTGTATATGTATTTTATCTACAAATATGTTGGGTAAAACATGGGTAGAAGAAATAGTTGATGTGTGTTAAAATGATGAGAGGCCTCGATGTTGTTGTTGTTCCAATCATCTAGCGGAGTATGGATGACGACCACGAACTCTTCTAGACAGTCTAGTGGAACGGTAGCAGGCTCGCAACCTGTAGGTGTTTGTGGGCTTGATGTTCACCGGTGTACTCCATCCCCCGCATGGTTGCCTTACGGACATATATGGCTAAGGAATCCCCTTAGCAGTAAAGTCCATCCCGATGATAAAATCCTTAGACTAGGTCCCTTGTATAGGTTTTTAGGGACGTAAAGTGAGGATAACGGGAATGGGTAATCAGGGTTATTGTTGGTTTGATAAAATTAATAAATTTATTTTTGATCGATGAAATTAATAAATTTATTATTATTTTTGGGTTGAAAACCCTATATGCTCACTAGGCTCCCAAGCCTGACCCACTCAGCTTTCTGTTTTACAGATAGTGGACCCAGAGCATAATTTGGATGATGATGAGGGATTTTTGGATTATAGGCTAGTAGATGTAAATAACTGTTGTAAAGCTTATAATGTATTGTTTATGCTTTTGATCTGTATCGAACATGACATCCCGAGTCTTTTTAATGAAATATATTTCTACGAAAATGCTTTGATAAATCTTTATCATATTTTTATTTTGGGAACAAATGCCGCAACACTTTTATGTAAAATATTACTCTGGTTTTCAAACAAGCATAAACACAAATCAGTATTTTCTGGCCGTGAAATTAGGGATGTCACAATATCTCACATCCTAATAATCAAAAAATTTCATATTCGATCTAATAGAGGTCTCCTGATGCCACGCTAACCTTATGGTACACTGGGATGCTGAATCCTTGACCGATTATTGAGACTGACTACTTTGCACATTGTCGCACGATGAGGCCCGTCCCAAGAGTTAACTGATAGAGGCTTCCTTAGCCTATCTGCTACACGAGTCCAAATTGTTGATCATTGAGCTTCCAAAATCTACACTTCACCTAATTCCCTAACTCTGCCAAACACCACTAGGTCTCACCCTCATGAGTCATACACTTACTGATTCCCTATATATCGTGACATCCTTTAATCCACTTGAACATTAAGATCACATAACATACTGACATTGCTATCATTCCATCACTGGTATGTGGACTCCCAACCAACACTTCATGCCTCGGTCATTACCTCAAACGTCTGAATGACCCGCTCACCTAAGATAACTTAACCAAACCGACCTCGCCCTCAACTGGGGGGCTATACTAGTCTAACCACCGATACGAAACTAACTGCCCTTCCGCCTTAACATGGAGTAGAAAAATAACAGTAATGAACCCACCTCAGCCCGCACGAAGGTTGTGATCCCCGTACAGTCTTATAACCATTCCTACAATTGTCTAACTCGTCTTATAGAAGGCTACAAGATATATCATGGACTTACCACACTACCAAAACCGCCTACCAATCTAGTGAATGCTACGGCTTCCGCACAGTCTTACACCACTTTCACAACTCTTTATTAACCTAATAAATGTTACGGCTACCCCACAATCTTACAACACTTCCATAACTGCCTATCAACCTAGTGAATGCTACGGCTACCCTGCAGTCTTACAACACCTCCACAACTACCTATCAACCTAGTGAATGTTAAGGTTATCCCACAGTCTTACAACACCTCCGCAACTGCCTATCCCATAACTAATGGATTCCTGAACCATATCATAATCTTGCTATTCCGCGACTTGGGGTTGTTATTTGGACCATTTTGAGCTGGAAAAGTTGGTATCTTGGTCTTGTTGTTTGAGTCGTGTATGTGGTGTTGTCAATTTATGTCATTTTGAGCTTGAAAGTTTAGATCTAGTGAGTTTTGGGATGAATTAATGGATAAAGTTGGAAATTTTATCCATTTCAACATTGTTAGAGTCCAGATCTGAAAGATAGGGTAATGACTTAATTGATTAAGTCAAAATACCTTGTGAAGATGGCCAAAGCGTAACACGCTTTTACTGGGCGCTTTTAGGATTTTCTCAGTTACGCATGTTTTAAGCCATGAACCCGAATATTTTTTATTTTAGCAAGGCGTGATGTGCCTCATGAGAGCACGTTGTGCTTTTTGACCCAAAGTGGACTTTGTTGACTTGGGTTGACTCTAGGTTAAACTTTAGGGTTGGTTCATAGGATGAGGTTGAATTTTGATTAATTGTTTAGGTGTTTGTTATTCCAAATGTCTTTTCTCTTATACTTTTGGTAATTGTTTGACTGAATGAGATGCGAGTTTTCTCACTACATTGTGTAGGACACGGGGTATCAATATATGCTTGTTGTCTTTGTGACTCATGCTTTTCTACTTGGAGTTTAATATTACATATTTACACACATACACCATAGTGCTTGGTTTTAATTTTGTGCTGGGGACAAAAAGGGATGGTAAGTTTCCTTTATGGCACAATCCATGAGTTTAAAGTATTAGTGTATCTCCAACCTTACACAAAAAAACCATTTTTACGCTATAATGCAACCCTACATTATACCTGACATATATATATATATATATATATATATATATATATATATATATATATATATTGTGTTGGATTTTAGTGTAACACTATATATAGTGTTGAATTTTAGTGTAACGCTAAATATAGTGTTGAATAAAGAGCAATATACATAAAATATTTTTTAGTGTTAAATATGATGTAATGGGTTGGAGAACTTTAATGTATGTACTATCTTTTACACTATAACTATCGGGATAATATAAAAAATAATGTTAAAGGGTGGAGATGGTCTTAGTCGTCAAAATGTCAGGGGCGGACTATATGAGGGGCGGACTATATGAGAATGACAAATGTGAAAAAATTTGAATGCATTATATACGTATTTGAATTATTACCCTAGGTCCTCTATGTGAAACTAAAAGAAAAGAAACACAAAAAGTGTACTAAAAGTAAATTTTTTGAAAAACTTAGTAACCGTTCTTATATTTTTACTCCTAGAAAATGATTATTTGGGTAAAATATTTGTGGAACATGTAGCCGTTACTCATTACATTACTCCTATGATTATCTTAATGATCATCTAAAAAATAAACATAACACGTAATGCACTTCAATAACTCAATGGATTCTTTTTCTAATGCATGATTTTCAAAATAAAGTTCAATTATTATAACATTAAATATGAAAACGAGTTTTAAAAGACTATATACATCATTATATAAATTTTATGTCACACTCAACGTAAATGTATGTTTAAACATGTAAAAGATGTCTTATTAGCCTAAGAAATTAACATCCAATTTTTTTATAGTTTAATAAAAATCTTTCCACCAATAATTAAACACTTAGCATACAAATCAAAAAAATAAAATTAATAAAAAAAGTAACAAATCTATTATAATTATATTTTCGTATATTATATGATTAATAATTGTATTACCGATTTGGGTGGTACACGGTGTCAAGAGACCCAATCCAAACGGTGGGATTAACCCTTCACAATCAGCAAACTCCATGGATAAACAATGCGGAATCCACTCAAGCTTTCCTTCTATTTAATCAATCCCCCTCTTTCCCCTTTGCGTTCTCTCTCTCTTTCTTTATCTTTCATTCCCACTCTGCGTTTCGTGTAATCAGCCATAGCCGGCCGATCGCACCTCAAGATCTTGAGAACGAACCCATTTCAATCACCCATCTGTTTCAGTAACAAATTCTCGGTTACTGATAACTTATATAGTTGTGGGAAGCTTTGGTTGTATCGATGATAGTGTGTAGGGTTATCTTTTTGAAGTAGCGGTGTCGGTGTCGGTGTCGGTAGACTTTTAGGGTTAGGGTTTTCTGGAATTGGATGAGTAAGGTGGTGGTGGTGACATGCTTTGTTGCGGAATACATTTCTGAGGATTGCGGTTTGGTGATTCGTAGTCGGGGTAGGTGGGGCAAATGTGGCTGATCTTCTTTTTTTATTTCTGAATTTCCGCCCAACAACCACCGCGTTACTTTTCTTGTTAGAATTTCCTTTTTGCTTTGTGGTTTTTGATCTGGTTTTGATTTCGAGAAACAAGAAAGAGAGTGTTGGAGGAGGTTCACGATGCAGCAAGATCGTCGAAGAAAGGTTTAACCAGCTCTACTTATTATCCATTTGATTCTATCTTTGAGTTGAAAACATTAAAAACATATGCATCACAAATTAAAGTAGATTTTGATCTTTATCATTTACATACGATTTGACCTCCCAATGAATGTATTGCAGAGTCCAAAAGACATTGAGTTCTTCACTGAATATGGTGAATCAAACCGATACAAAATCCTGGAGATTATAGGAAAGGGAAGCTATGGAGTCGTTTGTGCAGCCGTCGACACACAGACTGGTGAAAAGGTTGCAATAAAGAAAATAACCAACATTTTTGAACATTCATCCGATGCTATTCGAATTTTGCGTGAGATTAAATTGCTTAGACTTCTTCGTCATCCTGATATTGTTGAAATTAAGCGGATTATGTTGCCACCATCAAGACGAGAGTTTAAAGATATTTATGTTGTATTTGAACTCATGGAGTCTGATCTTCACCAAGTCATAAAAGCCAATGATGACTTGACACATGAACACCATCGTTTTTTCCTCTATCAAATGCTACGAGCATTGAAATATATGCATACAGGTAACCCTTTTACTTATACTTCTAACAACCAATTCTTCTATTTTAAACCAAAACTAACCCAACACTCTCTGAAATTCAGCAAATGTGTATCATCGAGATTTAAAACCAAAGAACATATTAGCAAATGCAAATTGCAAACTCAAGATATGCGACTTTGGATTAGCAAGAGCTGCATTTACTGATACACCCACAACAATATTTTGGACAGTAGGTTCTTCCATTCTTTATTCAATATCATAACATCATATCACTTCATATACACATTGAAACACAACCTCAATCTCTGTTTCTTCTGATAAACTCTCAGGATTATGTTGCAACAAGATGGTATAGAGCTCCTGAGTTATGCGGATCTTTTTATTCCAAGGTATACATACTTACATAGCCCATTAGGGTATTATCTTTTCACTCACCTTCCTCATTTAGAATCTCAAAAGTAGCATTCTTTATGACATATTAGTATAAAAGCTTTAGGCTTTATGATAAATAACCAATAATATAAGGGTGGTGATTCCTAGATTAAACTAATTCTTATTCAGGCTGCATTCTTTTGAACACTCTTGGAAGTTTCTTCAAGTAACCGTATCAGGGTTTGTGTCAAGTTTGTTGTAGTTTTACTTTGGTTGTCATTTTGACCTTTTTGCCCCTGTGAGGCTGTGTGAGTATTATCTGATTTTTGCTCCCACCTTGATTGCAGTATACCCCTGCTGTTGATATATGGGGAATCGGATGTATTTTTGCTGAAGTATTAACAGGAAAACCACTTTTTCCTGGAAAAAGTGTTGTTCATCAATTGGAACTTATCACTGATCTTCTTGGAACACCATCACCAGATACCATTTCTAGAGTATGTTATGTCACAACCTTACAATTTTCTTCATTATTTCTTTACATTCAAACTTCTTTTTCAGGGCTTATTACTTATGTCTCTATCATCATCTATTATTATGATGATTCAGGTGCGTAATGACAAGGCAAGAAAATACTTGACTGATATGCGTAGAAAGAAAGCTGTCACATTTTCTGAGAAGTTTCTAGATGTTGATCCATTGGCACTCAGGTTATTGCAGAGGTTGTTGGCTTTTGATCCAAAGGATCGACCAACTGCTGAACAGGTATTAATATTATGATCTCTTCTGTGTCAAATTGTCAATTCAAGATTCTTGTACTGAGGGTATTTATGTCATTTTTTCGTTTTTCAGGCATTAGCGGATCCTTACTTCAAGGGGCTATCGAAAGTTGAGAGGGAGCCATCTTGTCAATCGTTTTCAAAGTTGGAGTTTGAGTTTGAGAGAAGAAGAGTCACAAAAGAGGATATTAGGGAGTTGATATTCCGGGAGATTCTAGAATATCATCCTCAGTTGCTTAAAGATTACATGGCTGGAAATGATCGAACAAATTTCATTTATCCTAGGTTCTTTTTTCAATAACACTCTATGATTTTATATCTCTATTGATTTGTGCTCTTTCTTTATTGGTTCTGACATATGTTTGTAATATGCAGTGCTATTGGTCAATTTAGAAGGCAGTTTGCGTATTTTGAGGAAAATGTTGGGAAAAGTGGGCCTGTTATACCTCCAGAGAGGAAGCATGTTTCTCTTCCTAGGTAAGGGTAAAATAGTCATTTGTTTTTTGCATTTATATGCCTCTATTGTCTTCTTTTTTCCTCCCAGTATGGTGAAATTGATGAATGCTTTTAAACTTATTTTCCGGACATCAAGGGTAAAATGGTCATTTATTTTACATTTTTATGATTATTGTCCTCTTTTTTCCTTCAGTTATGGTGAAACTAATGAATATTGTGAAATTTTGTTTTTTGGAATATAAGGGTAAACTGGTCATTTACTTCACATTTTTATGACTCTATTGTCCTCTTTTTTCCTTCAAGCATTGTGAAATTGATGAAGATTGTGAAATTTGTTTTTTGGATTACAAGGGTAAAATGGTCATTTACTTCACATTTTTATGACTCTGTCGTCTTCTTTTTTCCTTCAAGCATGGTGAAATTGATGCATACTGTGAAATTTTGTTTATTGGAATACAAGGGTAAAATGGTCATTTATTTAAATTATTTGGTATACTTCAGGTCAACGGTTTCTTCAAGTATGACTGCTCCAAAGCTGCAGCAATGTTTGGCTGCATTTGACAATAAGCCAGTGGTGGATAACAACAACATGTCAAATGGTGGTAGAGTTGCGGTAGATGCTTCTGGAAACATCTTTAGTGCTGCTGCTAGACCACCCCCAAGGATGCCCAAAGGTAATCCACAAAGGAATGGAATTGATGATTACATTCCATCATCTTTATGTTTCTTTTCAGTTTGAACTCTCTTTCTCTATATATAAGTGATGAATATGTTGAACATGAACAGGAAGAGTTGTGGGGCCAGTTTTACCATTGGAGGGTAGGGGGGAGATGAAGGATGTGTATGATCCAAGGGTAATGCTTAGAAATGGTCCGGTTGGTGTTTCTCCACATTATGCATCATATAGGGGCAATAATGGAAATCAAGTAAAGATTCATGGGGGGCAAGAAGGGGATAGGGATTCATTGTCCTTGATGAAACAGCAACAGGGGGTGAATAGTAATCCTTATTACAACCACGGTCAACAGTCAAAGGGAATGGAGTCAAAGTTTATGTCACAGTCTCAGTCACAATCACAGTATGGGGTTGCGGTTGCTACTCATAGAGAGGTTGGTGTTGTTCAAATGGGATTATCGTAGAGAGCTTCTTGTTTTTATTTCTCCTTTATATTTGGGGTGTTTAGTTGATGTATATTGCACTTGTTTTTTTTTAGTTTTGGTGAAATAAGGAAAGATATTGAAATAAAAGTGCTCTTTTTTTATTTTACTCCTTTGCAAAGTGGTCTTAAGTTGAGTTTAAAGATATTATTAGCTTCAAATCATGAAGCATCTTTGAGAGGAAATGATTGATTATCTTTCCCTCGGGGATCAATTCATCTTTGTTGGCTTATAAGACGATTTTTGGACAAGGTGATCTTTTAATGTGAAAAGATAAAGTTTACTTGCAAATGTCAAATTTTGCATAAAATGGTAAAAAAAAAAGTTCAGAATTAGATAAGTTGCAAACCAAAGTAACTATTCCAAGGTACAACGAGAAATACAATCCATATCTATATTCATATATATATTATAATAAAGGGATAATGACTTGAAACTAATACATTTGAAACGATCTTTCAATTGCCTTTTACTAATGATTGCAATCATCAATCATTGTAACCCTTTTTTTTAACTAATAACACTTGAAACTAATACATTTGAAACTTATCTTTCAATTGCCTTGTAATAATAATTTAACAGCTCAAAGGTATATTATACAAATGTCAATTTTTTGAGTAGAAACCACTTACCAATCATATAAAAATTCACATGTATGTTTTGTAAAATTCACATGTATGTTTTGTGTCATATAAAAATTCACATGTATGTTTTGTAAAATTCACATGTATGTTTTGTGTTGGTTTGACTTCTTTTGACTAATTTTCGAAACATGTTATTATGATAAAACTTACTTTGTAAGTTTGTTATATATATATATATATATATATATATATATATATATATATATATATATATATATATATATATATATATATATATATATATATATATATATATATATATATATATATATATATATATATGAGACCGTGAGATCAAATCTAAAAATAATTTTAAAAAGCAAAATAAAAGGAAAAATCCAAAAATTATTTTTTTAATATTATTTTCGGAACTTTAATTAACTAAAAAAAAATTACCGCTTTTTTTTTGAAAAATATATGAAATATTGTAATAGAATATTACACAGTAAATATTCTAATATGATTTTTAGAATGTTAGAATATTCTACTAGATTTGTCAGATATGTAGAATATTCTAATATTCTTCTAGAATATGTAAAAAATGTATTTTTATTTATTTATTTTTATATTTTTGGTTTTTTTATTATTTTTTTTGGTAAATATAAATTCCGAAAATAATATTTGAAAAAAGAATTTTCGAAAATTTTCAATTAGTTTGCATTTTAAAAATGATTTTTTTATCTACTAAATGAGTGGCTAAGATTGCGTCTGACAGTCTTACAAAATTAGGCGTCTATATATATATATATATATATATATATATATATATACACGGTTATAACCCGTGGGCAGCACGGGTTAGAAATTAAAATATATTTTTTAATTAAATTATAAGTTATTTATTTGAAAATTATATTGATAATAGATAATAAAATTTTTAATAATTAAAGTGTATATGTTTTGCAGTAATATGATAATGACATAACTATTAGTTGAAATTAGGGGCCTTTTGTTATTTAAAATGCAGGTATTTTGTATTTGTGTATATGAAAAAAATTTATAAATTTATAAAATGAAATATAATAATAAGTAAACCAAATATAGAATTTCATATAAAAAAAAAATTTGTAGAAAGCTTTTACAAATTTCTAAAAACTTCTTTATACACAACATTTGATGTTTTATTTGTTAGTTTACCGTGTTTATCTAAAATCAACAATCTTAATCCTTGTTTACTTTGAACTCTGGATAAAGCAACGTACAATTGACCATGTGTAAAAACAGGATCCTTTAGAAACAAACCAACTTTCGATAAAGACTGTCCTTGGCTCTTATTAATTGTCATTGCAAAAGACACAGCTAATGGAAATTGTCTTCTTTGGAATTTGAAAGGGATCTTGTCTTCAGAAGGAGTTAAAGACATTCTTGGAATAAAAGTCCGGTTTCCAATATTACTTCCAGTTAAGATAACTGCCTCGATAACACGTTTGCCCAAAGATATACCTGTAGTCTAGTCCCATTACACAAGCCGTTTTTCTGATCAATGTTTCTCAATAACATAACTGGAACACCGATTTTTAAAATAAGCTTATGGTTTGGCTGACCTGAGACTTTAAGACCATTTAAAACATCGGGTGAGTATAAATTTGTATCAAACTTATCATGAAGAAACTCGGATTGGCATAGGCTATCGGAACTTAAGTATTCAGTTGGTTCTCCTGGAAACATTGACAACAAACGATCGTTTATTTCTTGGACAACTTCATTCTTGGGAGCAATTATTGCTCTTTCTTGAAAATAATCAGGAATGTTGAAGTTTTCCAGTATAGAAGGATATACAAAACTAATTAATGAACCTATAGGATCATGTGGATTAGTAATGAGAATATCTTGTGGAATATCAACAATTTCTTCAACGTCATTTGGACCACCAAGATTACCTTCTCCTATGTCTAAAAGCCAAGTTGCAAAATCCCTTATTTGTTTAATAGAAGATGGATCGCTTCCAACTGTTAACCTCATGTTTTTGGTTAGTTTATGAACTTTGCATTGTTGCCATAAATAAGAAGAACTTAAAGAAGCATTAACAATGTTTTGTCTACTGCCACTTGGAACAACAGGTAGAATTTGTCTGAAATCACCTCCAAAGACAATCAATTTCCCTCCAAATGGGATATTTGAATTCCTAGGATTGACACACTTTAATATATCCTTGAGAGTTCGATCTAAAGCTTCGAATGCATGTTTGTGAACCATGGGTGCTTCATCCCAAATGATCAATGAGGTTTTTCGCACTAAACTGGCAAGATCACTCTTTGGATTTATTCTACAAAAAGAATCCTCGGTAAGATTTATGAGAATTATAAACCGAGAGTGTGCTGTCCTGCCTCCAGTCAATAATAATGAAGCTATCCCACTTGAAGCAACATTTAAAACAATCTCACCTTGACCTCTAATTGCTGCAGAAATTGTTTTCCAAAGAAATGTCTTACCAGTTCCACCATAACCATAAACAAAGAATACACCTCCCCTACTATGGTTAACTGCATCCATGATATCAAGAAAATGTCTCGTTCCTCGTTTGTTAATGAAACAAACAACCCATTAAACGCGTTTTTTAAATTTGGTATGTCATAATCTAGCTCCTCAGTAATAAGACGATTGTTTGAAGATGAAACAGAATCAGCATCTGGGTAAGGCATCTTTCCATAGTGTTTGAGACTGGAATTGTTACGGAGTAAAATTTGTTCTATCTCAAACAAAGTCAAGTTTTTAAGTTGATCTTCGTTTAGTGATAAACCTATACGGAAAATAATTTATTAATTAGAACGTATAAAAAAATTAAGTTATTCTGATGTAAAATATAATTGGATTTATACTGAAATTGTATATGATAATCTTTTAACAATAATGAGATAAAGTTATATTACCTGGAGACTTTAATCTCTGTTGTTGATTGTAAAGAATTCCATCTGATAAACCGTCTATATATATATATATATATATATATATATATATATATATATATATATATATATATATATATATATATATAAGGCTAGGTTAGTGTGTTTTAACTATTTATTGTGTGAATGTAGGGTTGATTATGGACCAATCATTTTAATTATTTAAAAAAACGATTAATACATATTATTGAATTAAAGATAATTGAAAAATATCATTTAATTTCATTGTAAGGGTATTTTAGTCAATTAACATATGTAAAAAGGAAAATTTGTAGATTTTAGTGAATAATAAATTCTCTTAACTTTAAAAATCTAATTTTTCTGAATAATTTTGTTAATTTAGATATTCTAAAATAATGAGTTCACGATTATCTTGAAAAAAACATTATATTCTAACATAATAGTATTCCCAACATATATTATCAAGATTAATAATTTTTAATGAATGCATATTTTATATGAAGCGAATATTAATATTTTAGAATCAGTAATTACATTCATTTTTAAAGAATATAACAATGAACATAAACATGTATAAAAAAATATTTAGAGATCACAATTTTTTTTTTTGAGTTTATATTCTTAAAAATCGCAAGTTTTATTACAAACACAATGTCACACCCCAAAACCGGAACGGCGGAAACGTTCTGGGGTGGATGACGTCATGTCAAGTATCACAACATATGCAGTGTAGTAATCAAAGTACAACAACTATTGCATTAATAATAATAGTTTTACATAGTTTACATTGTATATAATCATTAAAGTAATACAAGTAGTAATATAAATGCATCTTGGTACTAAGCTATCTTCAACAAAGCTCCTGAGATGTACCTGTCTAATGCTGACCTGAGAATACAAGTTATATGAAAAGCGAGTATCATCATTTTTACAAATGCTGGTGAGTTCATAAGTATTTAGTGTCATTTTATTCAAATAACTTTAATAAAAGTGGTAGTTTTAGAGTATCCATTAAATTAGTGTCTTTTCCAGAAAATCCTATATTTTCTTTAATAAAAGCAGTCTTCCACCAAGACTGAACGGAGTTATGCGGTAAAAAGTAGTTTTCCCTTAATCGCTATCATTATCAAAATACAAAATTTGATTATTAAAGAAAGCAAGAGAGATCAGGGAAATAACATATGCCTCAGCAGTGAAGACTGCTGACTAAGGCAAAAGGAATCATAGACTCCAAGAGAGTATCGAACAAACGACACGCCTGACTCAATCTAATCAAAAGGAGACACAGACCCCAGACAGTATCAAATGAAAGATACAGCTAACAAGGTCTAAAACAGAGAATACAGACCCCAGATATTATCAAATGAAAGATACATCTAGCAAGGTCTTAACTAGATACAGACCCTAGACAGTATCAAATGAAAGATACAACTAGTAAGGTCCAATACAGTGAACACAGTGTATACAGTGAAATATTGTGTATAAAACCCGTTACCTTAAAGCCATGAATTATAAGGTAACCCCGAGATACGTGTAACCATACTGATCGATACTAGAGAATCTTGACGCCCTGCAAACGTCGGTATAATTATGACATTTATCACCCCTTGGCTTGGTAGGGCGTGGACTGTAGCTAGCAGTCAGGGTGCGGTGGTGTCAATCCCGTATAGATCTATACACACAATGTCCGCTCTCCCTACAAGAGACTTTGGTTACCAACTCGAAAACGGAGAAGGCTGTGTACTGCGGATGTATCTCGTATAATGAGATCTAATGTAAAAATACTGAACTAGTGATAGAGACTTGTAACCGAACTGACTAATGTAAACCCATATGACCATGCTTGTATACATAATATATAATTGATGGTCAAACGACCTTCGGACGGACATCCGATCCCACCAGACGACATCTCAACGAAGAAAAGGAAATATGGCGAACAAGCCTTCCTAGGTCCTTCAAACATTATTTATATGCATCTATACAAGCACATGCATACATCTAACTAACTGAAGTGCTTAATGAAGTAGGAGTGTTTAACGAGTGAGTAAGAGCGTCTAATGAGTGAAGGAGCGTCTAACAAGAGTAGGAGCGTCTAACAAGTGTGAGCGTATAACGAGTGAGTAGGAGCGTCTAACAAGTGTGAGCATATAACGAGTGAGTAGGAGCATCTAACAAGTGAAGTAGGAGTGTCAAACAAGTGTAAGCGTATCACGATATAGTAGCGACAACAAGTGAAGTAAGAGCGTCTAACAGGTATAAGTGACTACAGGTATGAGCGAAATAGAGGCGATAACAAGTATAAACGCATCACGAAGTGAAAGCTTTATCAAGTAGGAGTTTAAACTAAGTAGAAGCGAAACAGTGGTATCTAACAAGTAAGAGTATACAACATGAAAGAAAACCTTAATGAAAACCTTGGAAAAACCTTTATACTTAAGAAAATCACAACTTGGTATTCTTTGTAAAATAAGTTTGAAAACCCTAGAAATTCTTTGGAAACCTTTCATAATCCAGTTTAAAATGAAACTTTGATAAAATAGTATAAGTAAGAGTTTTGAACAAGTGAAAACATTTTAGAAAACCATTTATAGTATCCTACTCGTTAAAACAGTTTATAGTGTGGTAAATCCTTGTGCATGCGGGTTATCAATCACATGTGATTGATATGATAACTAGCATGTTTAACTTGTATTCCCCCTATAAAACATGTAAAAAACATTTAAAAGGTTCATTCAGGGGTATGAACTCACCTGGTGTAAGTGGATCCGATGAAGGTGCCGGTTGAGTGCTCGGTGTTAAGTAAAGACTTGGACACACTTAGTGACCTATCTAACATATGATAACATATGTTCACATACAATTAGTACATTTAAAACTAATTAAACAAGTATACACACTCTAAGGAGCGGAAAACACTTTGGTTAAGTGTTTGGGGTGTCTCGGGTAACATTTAAGGGTGTGAATGGCTTAGGAATGGAGTTTACTCTCCAAGAGTAAACTCTCCATATAGTGTTTACGGCCGTAAACTCATGGTGAGGGGTTCTAGGATGTTTAAAGGCCTTATATTGATCGTGGAATTTTGCTAAGTCCAAATCTAAAATGTATGAGTGGATTCAAGGCTTTTAAAGGGACAAAATGGGAGTTTATGGCCCATGAACCACCCTTATGGGAGTTCACGGCCGTGAATTCCTACCCCTTGGTTTTACTGAAGTTTTAAGTCCTTGTTTCAATCCTAGTGATTTATAATGAAGGTATAAGGCCATTTGGGGAATTTAAACCACCATTTTGCATGGTTTGGGGGTGTTTACGGCCTAGGCATGTGCTTGGGCCGTAAACTCCATTTCACCCCTCAAATCTATGTGTTTAAATTTTCTAAACCCGAAATAGCAAGCCCCTAATTTATATATTAAGCCTAAGGGTGGTTTGGGAGTGATTTTGAGGCTTGATTTGCATATTTTGAGGAGTTTACGGCCTAAGAATGCTCTTGGGCCATAAACCCTCTTTCAAGCCCCTAAACTTGTTGATTTGAGGTTCAAACACTTCTAGGCTTAATCCTAAAATAGTTTCCAAGCCTAAGGGAGGGAGTTTTGGGCATTTTGGCACCATTTAAGGTGTTTACGGCCTAAGGAGGTTCTTAGGCCGTGAACTCCTTCTAATTGGATTTCTTGTGTGATTTTTGGGTTAAAACAACACTAAACAATGTCTAAAACAAGTTAGGGTAGAAGATCTTACGTTTTGGAGGCGAAAACTCGCGGATTTGAGTCGAAAACGGGCTTTATGAGAGAGAGTGAAAAGGGTGGAATGAAGTCCATTCCCCCTTATATAGTGGCTTGAGTTGAGGCTCAGTGGGAATCCACCCGATATTGCCGTTAAACGGAGCTTTTGGTCGCACCCGATCTAGTGGTCGTAATAAAATTAACTTTTTCCAAATTAATATGGAAATGTAAATTACAAGATTTTATCTTATCTTGTTACAACGAATAACGACATGGAATATAAATAAATAAAACATTTATTTATTTTACGACCTCAAATTAACGGAACTTTTATAACTCGGAATATTCCGTTATCGGAAACGGGGTAATGTAACGGAAATAAACTTTGGGTTGTCACACACAAATATCATACGAACTTTTTAGGATTGGTCTATTTAGTACCTAAAGTATTTTTTGCTGTTTTATATGGTCATAAGGTTGGTTATAACTTTTAACGTGCTTATTTGGTCCCTTTGACCTATAATAATCAATTTTATATGCCACATCAACAAATTATCTCGAAAGTCAACTCAAACAAGGACATTAATTTTTGTTGGTCGACTAATTTGAAAGTTAACACATGCTTTGATTCAAATACACACCTTCAAATCGCTTTTGGACATGCAATGAAATTCAACATAATAACTACGAAACTCATTTCAATCCTTCACACAAATTTGAAATCCAAAATCCATTCAATTACATTTCAGTCAAAATCATTTAACCAGTTTCAAGATCCATTTATTTAAGCTCTTGTTGCGACCTCAATTACATTTCAGTCAAAATCATTTAACCAGTTTCAAGATCCATTTATTTAAGCTCTTGTTGCGACTCCATCTGTAGAAGTTGATTCGAATAAAAACAAAATCACTTACCGATGGCCAAATATAACATAATTTGTGGTCTTACTATTATCATTACCTGGTCTATATATTCAAATATATTGCTGAAAAATTCTTTGTAAGCTATAGGAGGTGCACAAACTCGGGTTCCCTTGGTCTCTACTTGCTTCCTCAGGCTTTTCTCCTTCCTCCTTAAGACCACAAGCACCAAAATCCACCAACAAGGCTTAGATTGCTTCAATAACAGCTAGGGCTTCAATGAGAGGTGTTTTGGGAGCATAAGGGACGTTGTGCTCGACATAACATTGCCTAAATAGGGTGCAAACCCTTGGATTAGGGTTTTTGTTCAAACAACGTCTACTCGTCGAGTCCGGGACCCGACTCGTCGAGTCCACGGCTTAAACCCTGCGTCCTATTATGCTTTTACTTGGCGAGTTGGTCCTTCAACTCGTCGAATCCAAGGCTAAAAATGCAAAATACTTAGATAAAAAAAATAAAAGAAATGCGTACCAAGAACTAGGTGCTACAATTTTCCTTTACAAAATTTGCACTAAAAAATAGTACAGAAGACCCACACCTTCATAAGGTAGATCAGTTGTTTGCTTTTGGAATACCCTATAACTCCATTGCTTTTATAATGCTCTCTAAGGCCTCCATATTTGTTTTTTTTGTCGATGTGGGATACGCTTAAAGGCCCGGCTCCTCTTCCACCTTCAATAAAAACCTTTTTTTTTTTTAACTTTTTTTCATTACGTTAATAATAAAACTTTGAGAAATATATAAATTACTAGAATTAGTATTTTGGAAGGTGTTGTTTCATTTTAAAAGTCCAAAAATAATGTTATATATATATATATATATATATATATATATATATATATATATATATATATATATATATATATATATATGACATCGTACGGTTCATCCGGTTTTTAGGATTGGTCCGACGGGTCGAACCAATTAAACCATCAACCCGGTAAGACGACCGGTTCGATGTCCGGTCCGGTTTTCAAAACATTGTCTAGGAGTATTCTACTGTAAAAAGAACAAGAAATGCAAAAAATTAAGATTTTTTTCGATTACATATGACATTCCGGAATTTAGGTCTAAGACTGTGAATGGTCAAATTCATAGTAAAATCTCTTTGTAATTTGACTTATTGAGTTTTGGTACATGTAATATAAAATAACTGAGTTCATTTCAACTATTATAAGATATCAGATGGTATCTTACTTCCAAATATGTATTCTGGCAAACAAATCAAATAGCTTAAACTGCAATCCTAAGAATGCATCTGAAAAACTAAAATTTTGTATTAAACAGTTGTAAGCAAAGAAAACATTCTACTATCGTACTACATGTTCTACTATTTCTGAAAATATAAATAACGTCCAAAATGGAGTTTGATTGCAAAAGATACGATTATTTTAAGAATCCAAAATCAGTATAATATTGATTTTCTTAAAACTGTTAAAACCGTTTTTATCTGTTGAGGGACCTGCCCACCTTAGATGGAAATTTCAACAACGTTTTTGATCTCACGTATAGTAAAATATTTAACTTTATACTAAATATTTTTAGTAAAAATATTTATAAAAGTAAAAAAAATCAAACGTTTTTGGATTAGTTAACTGCGAATCTTTGAACGTGATTTCCCGGAGTTCTATAACTCGAAAAATTAATATGTTTCAGTTTTTGAAATCCTTGAACTAAACTTTATCATTCACCATTATATATATATATATATATATATATATATATATATATATATATATATATATATATATATATATATATATATATATATATATATATATATATATATATATATATATATATATATATCGAGATCAACACACAAATTGAGAAAAACTGTTTTGTAACCATTTTAAATATCACAAGCGTGACATTATTTTAATACCATAATTTATATATTTTTACTCAAATATTCAACCATGTATTATTACTTAAAATACATGAATAGTTTAAGACAATACACAAATACATACATGTATAAAATGCATCTTATTACTCAAATGCCTTACTTATGTGTTTAATTAATGTAATATCTTTATATTGATTTTATTGTAGAAGTATGATTATCTAACCAAGTATATACACATAATTATGGGCAAAAGAAAACAAATTAAAAGCTATTATTTTATTTCACATTTCACTTAACTAATATTACACACAAAGTAAACATATTTATACAAAACCATACACAATTGAGACATTTTTATATAAAACCATACACAAAGGAAACATTTTATACAAAACCAAACACAAAGGAAACGTGTTTTTCTCAATTGATGCTGTGAACACCAAACCCCATCTTTCCTTCACCTTCTTCGTTTGATACCATGAACACACCGTAGTGTGTGTTTTCCTCCCTTACCCAATTGTATTGCTAACGATCAGACCAAAGGAAGAAAGAAACCACAAGGAGGGTCGCCAAAGGTTGAATGCCTCCCTCCTTTGCCCTTCAGAATCGATCGAACCACACTCCACTACCCATTCGATGATACTCCACCCTCGTTCTTTCTCCTGTCAAAATCAGACCCCAAAACCCAGCTAATTAAGTTCTGTTGATTTCTGTCAAAACAAACAAAAAAAGAAAAAGAAAAAAAAAAAACGAAGGCAAACATCCGGAGCTGCTGCCCTGTTTCCAACCTCAACGACTAGCAGGAGACCCCTCGCATCCCACACCTTCTTCATCGAGCAACTACCTCCGACGATCCTATCTCCGCTGTTGTTGCTACTGCCTTGCTCCATCGGGACAACCATCCACTTCCCTTCGCAACCCTTTCCGAGACAGAAGAAGAGCAGCCTCGTCGCATTCATCTCTTCCCCCTTTTTTCGGTTCGGCCAAACACCGAAGCTTCCCCCTCCTCGCGATCTATCAGCCACCTCGGACACCTCCCCATCGTCGCTAGTCGCTGATGTTGTTGCCCCTTCGTTTTTCCTACTGTCGGCGACGAGAAAGAAACCCAAGAAGGCTCGCAGGAGATTGTCTGTTCCCTCGTCCCTCCTCCTCGTGATTTCGCCCACCGAACCATAGTTGTTTCCCATTCGTGCTTCCTTCTCGCCGCCTTCGTTCACTTATCCGTTCTTTCAATCGTCCAAACAAGGAAACGAGGACATAAAAGCCCTAGAATTCTTTTAACTTAGAAGTAATGACCAAATAACCCCCTACTAAGCATTCATTTCAACTAAACCATTTTCCCAAACTTAAGTTTATTTAAAACAAAATAGCCTCCCATTGAGATTTCTTAACAAAACTAGTCCAATTCCCAAACTTAAATTCCATTTAAACAATTACGATCCCTCCTTTGAACTATTTTAACCAAATCAGTCCTACTTTGGTTAATTAAATTACCGAACAGTCCCTATAGTTTGGTGAAGTTACAAAACAACCACTATAGTGTAAATTTGTTACAAAATGGCCCCGAAAGTATTTTAAAGTTCAAAATTTGTGGTTTTGCGGTATCTCACGTCGGGCTTCTCAAAATAAACCAATTTCGTACAAATCGAACTCACGTTTCAAGGGTGAGTGCTTACGGTCCCTTTTTAATAATTTTAATTATTTTGTAAAATATATTATTCAGGCATTCGTTTTAACCATTCAGTTATGTTTTATTTGCAAAGTTTAGTCCCCGATGGTAATTTTGTAGTTTTAGAGTTAGACGGAGTACGTGGGGCGTAAACATTCATTCACAGAGCATACTCTAGATCACATTAGTATTTGTGTGTACGCTGGTACGCCGGGCATACGCAGCCGGGGTGCAAACCCTTAATTTTAGGGTTTAGACTATACTTAAACACATTTATGGTCACATGCACCTTCTTATCTTCAGCCTCCCTCCTCATTTTGAAACCCTATTGAGTGTTTGTGCATTGTGAAGCTTGTTGAGTCATTTTTGGTGCCATTTGGAGCATTTGGAGTAGAAGGAAGATCCTTGAGGTGGTGGTGTTTCACTTAAGGCTTTGGATCCAACATCTTGTCCCCCTTGTGCAATTTATGGAGGTAAAAAGTTTCAACATTGGTCTTGAGACAGAAAAGAAGAGAAAGTTGGCAGAGCTTCAATTATCCATGGGATCGGGCAAGAGGCCCAGGATGTTAGATTCTAGATTGAGAGGTCCTCATGTCCGGGGCCGTTGTGGCAAGTGCGGCAGCACGCATGAGGGTGCATGTAGGACTGGTAGTGGTGGTGATTCTGGCTGCTTCAAGTGCGGCCGAACTGGTCATTTCAGCAAGGATTGTACTGCTACCACCACCTGTAACAACCCGTTATTTCAAGCCAGTAAAAATCGAGTCCTGTAACCTCTTTGAGAAAGGAAATAGAATATCATCGAAAAATGAAGTATTCAAAAACTCTATTTGGAGTACACTATATGGTAGTTATCGTCTTAAGGTTTCCAAACATATAAATAACACAAAAATCCGAGTTATAACGAAGAAGTTATGCTCATTCTAAGTTTTCCGACAAAAACCAGCAATGCGAAGTTGCGTAAAAACGCAAAGTTTCAATAAAACACTTTCCGACCTTAGGTGTCTAAATGAAAGTCGTAGATATCGTTAAACTACAAACATGCATAAAAAGAACGCTCAAATCGGACATCGTATGAATAAGTTATGAATTTTTTAAAGAAATTCCTTAATCACGTCATTTTAAAAATAAATAATAAAAATAATTCCGGAATTTGCCAACGAAATCTAAATGAAAGTTGTAGATCGTAGTCTCACCTTTGCGGGGATATAAAGAACGTCAAAAACGGAGTTCGTATGAAGGAGATATGAATTTTCGAAGTTTGATATATATATATATATATATATATATATATATATATATATATATATAAAACTTCGGTATTATCCGAAGGGGAGTCAGCGTCCTCATCCGAGGTACGCGCTGCGTACTCCTGTACGCCCCGCGTACCCGAGGAACTTGGCCTCAAACCGTCCACGTCGCCCTATGCGAGGCACCCGACCCGACCCGTCCCATCCGACCCGACTGCCTGAGCCGTCCCATCCGAGGCCGAGGCAGTCGAGGCTTCGGTCACGCATGACGTACGCGTACGCGCTGCGTACGTGGCCTCTCAGGCCCCCCTATAAATAGCATGCGAGGGTTCCCGGGAAAATGGCCCATTCTCTCTCCTTTTTCTTGCGTTTTACCTCGTTTTCCGTGCTCGCACTACCCCGAAGCCCTGGTCATTTTGTGCAAGTCCCGAAGGTCGATTTTCTCCCGAGGAATCCCGAGATTTCCGAGGAAAATCCATTTCCCGAGACGAAACTCTGCCCGGTTTTCCATCTTGCTATCTTCAAACTTTCAAGTGAGTTCATACCCCTTTCAAACACACTTTAAATACATTTTAAATGCTTTTATACTCTTTTAGGGGGGGAATACAAGTAAACATACGGTTATTATCGTGTATTTTATAAAGTTTCACTTCACTTGTTTTATCGAATAAATCACTTGGAACTCATTACTATTATGGAAAACTCTTGTCATACTTTGCGTGCATAGACATTATACAAAGTATATAATGATTTCAAAGTAACTTTCGTTGTTAAGTCGTTTTATACATTCTAAAAACTTATGATTTTGCTTTGTCAAACATTGTGAAAAAGGATAAACTTTGCATACAAAACTATCACTTTATATACTTAATTGAGAATCCATGAGACGTGTATATCTTCAAACGTTACTTTTCTTTATTAGAAAGTAATGCTGCAAGTCCTGTCTATAACCAGAGTCTCCCGTTCGGAGAACGTGTCAAATGTGTATAGATCTATACGGGAAGTCATGATCCCGCGCCCTGACTGTTAGCTACAGTCCGTCTTTTGGGGTGACAGTTGTCATAACGCTGCGACGCCTGAAGAACGTCGTTACAGGCATATTATGTTTAGTATGGTTATAAAACTCATCGGATATACAATTATTATGGTATTATGCTTTTATGAACGAGTAGCTATTAAAACTATTCTTCATCTAATAAATGCGATCTTCGTATAGTTTTACTATATAAAACTATGACACAACTTTTGAGAACGTCGGTTTCTTGCGATTTTCGGTCTTAGAGACTGCCAATTATATTAGGAAAATAAGGGTTTCTCCTGCATACAACCAAACAACTAATAGGAAAATAAGGGATTTTCCTGGTGCAATTATTTACAACTTATAACACGAACATTATATGCATTTCATACTTTTATAAGAAAATAAGGGTTTTCTTGGAAAACACAACAACTCGTATCTCAACCATTAGGGAAAATATGGGATTTTCTGGATCTAATACATTCACTTTCAACACAACAAATCACAACTCTTTACATTTGAAATGCTGCGTTTTCTGGAAAATATACACCCATTTTGGAATGGCATCCAATTTTTCTAAACTACTTATGAACTCACCAACTTAATTGTTGACACTTTTTCTTTGAAATAACTTGTATTCTCAGGGAACCGCTAAGCAGGTTTGGGAATCAACTTTTGGGATTAACGCGCTGGCGTTAATTACTTCTTTTGGATGATGTTTATGTATTTATCTTTTGAACATGTAATGAATACAATTATGTAAACATCTTGGAAACTTTAATATATATGGTGGTGTGTACTTTCCTTTCTATGAACTGTTATGATACTGAATATGACGTCCTCCGCCCCGAACGTTTCCGCCGTTCTGGTTTGGGGGTGTGACAGATTGGTATCAGAGCTTTGTTTATAGGGAATTAAGTATATCAAAACCATTCCTTTTTGATATACAACTATAAACTCAACTGGGCAAAAACACTCTGAGAAAAATTCATACTTTTGAAAGTAAACCTAATTAGTTTTAAGGTAAGCATGCACTCATTTTTATACTAATAACAGTTTCATAGTAAATAACTTTAGAAGTATTATAAATAAGTTGTGCAGCACAGGTACGCCTTGGGACATGTAATCGGAACTGGGAAGAATATAGCCTGATCAACTATATTTGTCCAAGAGCCGACTAACGTATGCCAAGGAGTGTCTGTAATGGACAACAAATTTAAAACTTACCAAAAGCATATCGCTAAAGAATATTGAGGGAGTATTCGAGTGCCGTCAACCATTAAACTTAAGGGTAAGTTTCATGTGCTCTAGCTTATAGTAAACTTTTAACTCTATTCTCGTACAGTCTAAATGGCGGGATTCCATCACCCCAATGACCCCTACTACCCCAACCAAGGTAATGGAGGGTGGATTGAAGAAGATCCTGAAGAAGACGAAGAGCCTATAGAGTTGGAGGGAGGGGATGACTCTGGCACGGATTCGGAGCCAGAAATTATAAATCCACCAATCCCACAATCTCCCGTCCACGTGAGGAATTTCCAAGGACCCACTCCAGTGTGGGGAAGTCACCTCCATCATTGGAGCCAACAACAAAGCTTACGCCCTCCTTACGGCATGTGCCGAGACTTCTATGATGTGAGAGGCGGGGGATCAGCCGACCGCGCACTTCCGGTCATGGTTGGCAAACTCGCCAACCAGTGCTATCAATCCGGAGTGCAAGCCAACCGAATCCGAGAGGTCAATGTGGAAGTACAAATCCACACGGCCGATATCAACCGCCTAGAGTTGTTTCAAGCACAAGAAAATGCGGCCTTCGCAGAATTAAGAGAACAACAAGCTGCGTTTGATAGACGCCTCATGGAGTCGAAGCAGTCCGACACGGAGTCGAGCTCCAAACGCAAAGCGCACCGCAAGTAGTACTTGCCCAACTCTCAAATTTTGTTATAAATTAGGACTTCGGATAAAAGTATTATTTTCTTTAAATTGTTCTGTAATCGGAGGCCTTTAGAAAGGCCAAGAAATTTTGTCTAGACCCCGCTGTAACACAACTATATGTTTAATATATATAAGGGTATACCCCTTTTCTTGTTGTTGTTAATCATGCGCAAATCGTTCGATTCATTGGTACATCTATTCAAACTTTACTTTCAAGCTCAAAACATTGTGTCAGTCAAACCCAACTTCTTAGAACTATTAGAAGTTAACTCAATATCATTCAACTCTGAACTGCCAAAACTTATAAATTTTTCCATATTTTTTTCTTTTGGCAGCACGATGCCTCCTCGTCCAAACCTAAGGCCCAGGCCGGGCACGGTACCACCACCACCTCCAC